TCATCAACAAAATACTAAGATATTTTTATCAGCTAATTAGAATTCGCGCGTAATAAATATTTGTTTGACTTACCAGTTCGTCTACTTTATTTAACAGACAGACTAGAAATGAACTAGACAGATTACTCAGCTGATATATAGATGATATGCAAAAGATTCTCAATTCCAATTGGCCGATTCACGGATAGTTCTTATTGGCTATTTAGCTGATACTGCAGTATTTATTGCCAATTACAATTACCAGTTAGTGAATTTCCTCTTCCACAACAATATTATATCGCTAGAATCCGTTTTCGGTAATCCGTGTATTTTCTTTTCTTCGATATCTACCAATTACTTTGTTTCCAAGTATCCAGCGAAGAGTCACCGTATCGCTTCTGTATCAGGAATCAATTCTGAGATTTCCTCTCTAGAGAAAAGACTACAGCTCTGATATTGAGTCTCTTGGGTAAATCTTTTTCATAATTTGAATGCTTATTCATGTTACTCACTTAAATTTTTCTTATTGTAAAATAGAATGCGAAAAATATTGATATTACAAAATAATAATTTCTTTTTTTTGGTTTTGTGTGGTAATAGTGAAATGGAATCAGCATTATCTTGTGCACTTCGTTTAGTACCTTCGTTTAGTACCTTCGAACTAAAAGTTCGAGCTTCTTGAAAAAAATTCTTTATCAAGTAATTCTTTGACCTTGTTATATTAAACGAATCTCCGATAATTTTTCCACAGTAGCACTGATTTATTAATAGTAGCACTGAATTATTAATAAAAGCACTGAATTATTAATAAAATGGAATGAATTTTCTAAAAAATATTATTTATTGTACTTATAGTCTTCAATTATTGCAAAGTATACAGAAGACGCACAAACACAAGATATTTGAGCTTAATATTAAGTTTAAAATTAAGAAACGATATAAAATATTATCTTAAAAAAAGCTTAACATCGATTAATTGAAAACTATCAAGTCCAAAGCTTCATATTAATTACATACAGTGTAATTGTGATTCAGCTAATTTTTAAAGATATTTTTTAAAGATATATTTTTAAAAAATAAATATTGACAAAGTTAATATATATGGTACAAAATATGGTATAGAGTAAATAAGTCAGGTATTATGTTAGATTGCTTAGATGTGTTTATTTTTTAATAAAGATTGTTATAATGTCAGTATCATAATATTTCTTTATATTCTTGACTAGATTAAATCCATGATAGATATAGAATATCTAACTGCAGCAATTGTGCATATATAAATCACAATACAATACAGTGTTGCAAGTGAGGAAAGTTTCCAAAGATTAGACATTTGCAAAAGCTGCATATGCAATAAGGTATATAGTATACTGACTAGTGCAAAGCATGGTATTAAGATTTTCACCGTAGAATTGCATGTCTCGACATTCAACCAGAGCGGTGTAAAAACTATAAAAGGAAGGACAGTTTCAAGATCATGTCGGTGAGCACTTCGTATGCGAATCACATCAGGATGCCCATCGCCAGTTGTGCACAAAATTATTTCTGATTTTTTTTGTCATCCACATTCTATCTTCCTCGCTATGAATTACCTGAGCAATAAATCAAATCGTAAACAAATTAAATTACAATATTAATTTTTTATTCATCTATATACATAATAAAATATATCTTTCATAACTAACAAAACAAAACAATAAAAACTAAAATTTGTTTACATTTTCATGATAATATTTCTGGTAATATAATTAAAAAAAATTGTAGAGATAAACTTAATGGGACTAAAATTTATATAGATAAGAATTTATAAGAATATAAGAATGTATTTAGAATAAATATTTTATTTATTATTTTATTGAGAGTTCTACTACGAAAAAAAGATTTTCATTTTGATTGACTTATGTATAAAAGCTTTTATTTTGTGCATAAGATATTTCCCGCATTTTTTTTTTTATATTTCATTATGTATCATATATTATAAAATATTGCGTTCGAGGAAAAGATATATTTTGAGATTGTAGTAAAATTTATTTACAAGTTTTCCCAAATCGATTTAATTTGCATTCCAATCTGGATATACATCAGATTCCGTATGGTATTGGGACGATAATTCAAGAGCTAATTGAAATTTTGTCACAAAATTTTGTTTGTAGTATTTACAAATTTTGAAGGAAAATTTTCCTTTAAAATTATAATTTTCTTTTAATTACATTTTGATTAAGATTGATTAATTCACAAGGGAAATTATATTATACTTTAATATTTAATAATAATCATTCGCAAGCATTTTTAAAATATAATATCAATATATTTTAAAATATTATCTTTTGTAAATAATTATAGATTTTTTAAAAATATTTAATATCTATATATATTTACATAATATATTTGCAATCTTCTTTTTTTATATTCATTTATCTAGTCCAATAATCTTAATCACAGATTACTTAATTCTATATTTTCATGTTATAATTTGTATCAAGTTTATGTATTTTATTTTGAATTTGATGTATAATATAAAAATCATGAAGTGACCGAAAATGTATAAATTGAGAATTAAATGACAATATTTAAAGAGAAGTTATACATACAAATTTATAAATTTGTATAATATCCTTTTTTGATAGAACTAAATATAATTTATTTAATGAACGATTACTATAATGAATGAACGATTACTATAAAGATTTGAATTTGTCAAACAATGAATTTTTATTGTTGGATAAATAAGACTAAGAAATATACCGCATATTCTACAAATAATATACTGCATATTCTACAAATTCGAATTTTGCTGATGCTTGATAACATTCGGCCTTGCGTATGTCTTCAATCATAGCACAGGAGTGATACTCCGTATAACCGTTTCATATTTCTTGCATGCTTGGTATTCACCAATGAAAATATCTTACATGAACAAGTATCGAAAATGTCAACTATAATTGTTATATAATTATCCTAAAGTATAAATTGCAATCATGCATAATTAACTGCAGTTCTCAATAACCTGTGATCTAATTGTATCATTTAATTAAATCTAATTTAAATTAAATAAATAATATTTCTTCTGTTGAAAACTAATTTAAAAAAATATAAATATATAATTGAACAATAAGTTGCTTGTTTATAGGAATAATATTTTCCATTTCATTTCCAAGTTCTGTATTCATATAGTGTTAAACGAAAAATGTATTCTTAGTAATGAAAATAATATACAAAAATTGTACTCTTTTAATGTGCTATTAATTTGTAAATTATTACACTTATATTTACATTTATAAAATCAATCTCTATAAATCTTCATATTTTATATTTAATTATTTTAAATTTCATAGAAATCTTATTTCAATTTTTACATTTTACATTCAATTTTTCATTTATTGTTGAAAAAAATGTAATTCTATCAGATTAATATTGTATCTCTTTGACTATAAGAAAAATTATATTGTTTTATTTTCTTAAGAATTATCATAATTTGAAATTAAAATTATATTTTGTTAAATTTGGTATGATGACATATTGGAAATATCGAATGTATTATTAAAATTTTTTTACAATTGACATGCAATAATAATTAACTGGCCATCGACAATCGCTTATAAATTACGTAACATTGTATTGCATCCGGAAAGTCAGAAGTATCGTATGATATCAGACAATTGTAATGCTAATTAATGTACGCGATTCTCGTAATCCGTGTTTATTTCGGTATTACTGTTTAACTATTCATGTGACATGTATTTTGTATCAAAAATAAATAATTATCAACTAATAATGAAAGTTGGAAATTCACTCAAAACTTACTCGAGTAAATATTAGTATATATTTAACAAATTCGTGAGTTAACCTCACGTTATCAACAAATTATTGGAAGTACTGAAATTCTGCACGATTGATGAATTTTATTGGCCGAATAATTCACTTAATATAAAATACTGGCACATTGTATAAATAAAATAAAGAAAATGCTAAAACGAGATATTAATTAATGTGTACGATAATTAGCTACTTCCCGATAATATCAGAAAGTTCTTCCAATAAACATCAATTAAGTAATAACAAAGCAATAACTGAGAAAAAATCATCCATATCCATCGTCCATATATAATCATGTATATATATTTTTAATCATAAATATATATATGATTATTTATATGTGCAATTTTTTTTTCAAACTTAATTTTTTGTACAAGAAACAATGCAAAATGATTAATTATTTTTTTTATATCTTCGAATTATTACTATTATTTTTTTTATAATAAAAAGAAATTTTACAAAAGAAAGAATCTAATATGAATATATTTCATAAATAATTATATATATTTATACATGTTTATTATATATATATATATATATATATATATATATATATCCTTATATAAACAACTTTTCAGGTACTTCTAAAACTCTATGACATATCATCATTTATGATAAATTAACTTTTACAAGTTAAATAGTAAATGATAAACTACTTTAATTTATTTGATAAAATCTTTTTTATGTGTATCTTATGTCTTATTTACGTGTATGTAATGATACCACTGATAATAAAGTATGTACATCAAATATTCTATATGTAATACATATAAAAATAATATAAACTGCAGTGTATTTTATATTATAACAAAGAATTTAAAAAATATTAAAGCTATTGACTTAAGTATGTATAAAAAATTTATGTGTAAGATACATAAAATCACATACTGTGACTAATAACTAGCAAGTATTATAATATTTGAATGAAATGACCCTGATTAAGTATAATTATGAAAATATAGTTATACTATTTTCGTATTGATACTTTTATCATCCGATTATGTTGTGTTGTGTGAAAATTAGATAGATAGACAATCGTCTATTAGATTTAGCAGCCAAGAGAGAGATTTAAAAATTCTCGAAAATGTTACCTGTTCTCTCACTCGAATTTGCCCTGTGAACCATGTCAGCAGCATCATCTTTAACACGAGCACGCATGACCACCAAGCATATATGGACCACCACAGCTCTTTCGTCTCATTTTCAGACGCGTTCGCTAGCATTGTACGTAGCGCGACCTTATCTGCTTCTCTCCACGTCCACGGGAAATGTCGACGCGTTACTGACTACGTCCTCTTGTCTGAACTGGCGAAGGTCTATTAGCAAGTCAAATGCGTGAAACGATGATAGGTAATCTATGCGAAGGAAGCTGAGCGGGAAGATTTAAACATGCGCACTCGCGTTGAAAGACACGAATTATTTTAAAGTAACATCTCCAGCAAACGCAGAATCTAATTGTTATATAGCATAAGAATAACATGGGATATAACAGTTCTTAATTGTATAAATGTTATGTATCTCGTTTTATCCGCACAATATAACTGTATTACAAAATTGTTATATTTTTTTGTTATTTTATTAGTAGTTATAACAAAAACAAAGTAACAGCAATACAACATAAATATAAGATATTATATAACAAAATGCCTGATCGTATGTAATCGCGAATTTATCTATCATGTTGAATTGACATAAATCGATCTAGATATTCCGGTTTTATCGAATCTATTCATTTTATTATATAAAATATTATATCTAAGTTATTTTGATGTTATATAATATTTGTTTATGCTGATTATAATCTCAATCTTTTTCTGCTTGTGATTGAATTTGATATAACAAAGTCATAACAAAACAAGACCATAACAAGATCATAACAAAATAAAATCAAAATGATTGTAATTATAGGTAATACTTTTTCTTTTTTAATATTTTACTGAACATTATACAAAATGATGAAAAATGTTCTATACAAGTTCTACATAAATTATATAATATTTGTTAAGTATCTTTGACAATTTATCGTAACATTATTCTGTCCACAAGTTCAAGGTATCTTTGATTGCAAAAATCATATCGTAAATATAAAAAATTTAATCTCAAAAAGGACTAATGATATAAAAATTAGACCTTTTTAATATTCACATCTTATATTTACTGAGGCTTTCTCGCAATTAAGGATAATTTCAAACTTGTATACAAAAAGTTTTTCTTATCGTAATTTAAATAATTACAACGATCATTATCACATAATTTTTTTTAAATAACATAAGAAGGAGAATAATTAATTTGTATTATATAAATAGGGCTATCTTATTTTTATCAAATAAAGTGATGCTAATTTAATAAACAAAATTATATTTACTAAAATTTTAGTATGTGTGTGTGAGATATATATATATATATATATATATATATATATATATATATATATATATATCACACACATACATAAATTTTGAAATATATTTTGTTATTAAATGCATCATTTATTGATAAAAAATAGATAGCCTTATTTATATAATACAAATTAAAAATTTTTAGACAAACTTGAAATCTTGAAAAATCTTGAAAAACTAAGGAAAAAACTAGGTTTATTAACCTAAAAGAGATTTTTAAATATTCTCCTTCTTAAATATGTTATTTAAAAAATGTGATAATGATCGTTGTAATAACATTATTTAAATTATGATAAGAAAAACTTTTATAGAGTTAATGATTTTTTATAAAAAAAAATTTTTACCTCGTTAATTAAAAATATGAATTTAAATTACAGTATTTGATTTTATAGAATATTAAATTCTTTCATAAATTTAAAAATTTATTACGTGAGTAAATTTCAATAAAAATTTTAAAACTTTTATTTGCAAAATTGATGTACAGATTGTATAATATTAATATTTATAGAAATATTTCGTATCAATATTTCGTTAAAATTTGCTATTAACAATTTGCAGAAAGTATTTAAATAGTTTAAATAGTTGTTTATACAGTGTTATTGTGACTATATTGTATAATAAGTGAATGAATTAGTGTCTTACATCTCCTATGAAGATCATACAATTGAATAATCTCATACATAAACATCGATTCAATGTACATCGTTCCATCTTTATTAAGATTTATGGAAATTTAATAAAATGTTTGTTTCACTGCTGAGTGAATATTTTCTTGTTATTTTCAAAACGAGGAATAACTTCAAAATTATTAAAGTAATTTTATATTTTGACTACAAACGCCATTGTGCAATATTACTTTTCTTTATATTTGACATTCTCGATACCCAAATCAGATCGTTTCCGAGAAAAAAATCTGTAGCCACGATATTCGTTTCCTTCCACCATTCCTCTTGAAACTTGACAGTGAGATTTCGATTAACAGAATCCGCCATCTGCCGAAGTCCGCCAGATAAATTAAAGAAAATGTCTAATGGAAATGGCGTCAATTCCGCCATTACTGCCCACAATGGATTCTGACTATTTCTGCGTTTTTTTGATCCCAAAATTTCTTCATCCAAATATTCGAACAAACCCTCTACTGTTTGCTGATTGCCCCATACTTGTGTCAAGGGTGGCCATAGCCATTCATATTCTAAATTGAAAACGCTTATTAGCTTTTAAACAACTTTAACGAATCAAATTTTTGAATTAAAAATTGACAAAAATCCTTTCACCGTTTACTATGTGTTTGTCACCATAACAGATAATTAATCTTTTCCCGCCGGTCCAAATATCATTTAATGTTGGTCCCAGACCTTCAATCCCTCTATCCGGCTTCAAGATTAAACTTTCGAATTCTCTATGTAAAATAGCTAGCAATTTCCGATGTCTGTTTGGTCTACCTTCAAAGCCGACAGGAAATCTGTTTGATAATTTTTATTTATTATAAGATAATTAAAAATTTTTCTTATTATAACAAAGTTTTAATGTACTGTAAAACAAATTTATTAATAATTTATCAATATTTTTGTAAAAATAAAAGTGACATGTAAAAAGAAAAAATAAAAGAAAATGTTCGATTTTTTAAATATTTTTATATATTAAAAGCTAAGCGAAATTAATTGGGCAGATTAAATTTAATTATTACGTTTTTCATAACTTTTACAGCTTTTTTATAATATAATTTTTAAAGACCGTTTATTCGAATTTTATGACCAATAACGAGTTAAATTTATGGCGAATGCATACATCCGTGAATATAAAACATGTAATGCTATATTAGATAACTATATTAAATAACTATTTTGTATGTCACGTTGACTTACCTATGAAAGTCCATAATGACAACTTCACCCCTCGCTGCGTCCAAAAAATCCCTCACGTCCTTTAAAATCTCTGAAAGAGGTGTGATACGGATGACGTCGTGATTGACCCAGAATCTACTTACATGATTGCCGTCCTCGTCAAGTGCGGTGCCGTTCGGTATCGATGGATAATATCCAACTCTAATATCTAGATATCTTATGCCATGCACCAACTGCGTCCAAACATCACGATCCTGTGTCAACAAGTACCGCTGAAAGGCATCTCGGCGTGTCAGATCGCCGTGTTTGTAACAACCAGAATTATGTGTTCCGGGTATCATCAGACTGCCGATAGGAAGCATACCGATTTCTCTCCTTTGACAACACAAGGAAACATTTGTCTGTGTATTAACAGTAATTAGTTGCTACAAAGAAACTTGCATATAATTATTACAACGCCTCAGATTATTAATAATGACAAATAAATGCAAGCAACATATTTGCTTTATGTATAACATTAAAGACTATTTGTAATAAAAGCTTTTTTACAATTCTTCCAACATATTATTTGACATTTCTTTATTATTTTATTCTTCAATTTTGTGAGCTATTTTAAAATATTTGAAAAGTAAATTATTAAATTTTAAAAATATGTAGAAAGTTATGGTACCTCAAATCATACATCCACGTCGGCCAAATTTGCAAACAGGACATGGAAAACATGTGACCGTCTTTGTAAAGGATTGCATAATAATCGAGACAATGTGATCCTGGCAGAGTAGCCCCGTCCTTTGTATTCCATCCTCCTGGCAGTGGCGGGCGACCAACTGTAATATTTGTTCTATAATATCCTCGGGGACGTTGTAAGGAAGTCAAAATCAGTTCGGGTTTGATCATTTTGTCTGGAACAAATAAAGGTTCATGGTTGCGTCGACAAGTTTTTTGGCATCCAAAGTTAGCTTTATGATGAAAAAAATGTGATAAAGAATGGATGCATTTGTACGCGCACGATTTCACGACGATTCATTCTGTAAGACAAATCGGATTGGAAACGATTCAAAACTATCAAGGGATTCATTTCGAGCGGATCAATGTTTTCAAATTGAATGCGATAGGCGGAAGAGAGACTTAGCAAACAAGTTTTAACGACGGACTCCAAACGTTTCAACGCGCATAAGCTGGTGATCTGCGCTAAGCAATCAGTAAAATAAAATAAACTTATAAATTTCGAATTTTGTTGATAAAATTCCCTAACAAGATGAATTATAAATAAAATGAACTCATTTTTTAACAATTACAAGTTATAATACGAAATGTCATACGTATAAATGTCATATTTTTACAATTTGTAATATTAGATAAACTGTAATATTAGATAAAGTGTAGTTCTTGATACAATATACACTAGTTAATATGTAAGTGAAATAAGGGATATACATCTTCAATTTTAATCGTTATTTTTGGCAACGGAATACAACACACAAGAGAAACAAGCAAAATTTATTACTATGTGCTGCTAACGGGTCAGCAGTGAACACCTTGATCTGGGTATCTGAGTATCTTGTGCCCGCCGGACAATCGAATTCCCAATTTACTTCCAATTCGGCATCGACCACCTTGTCGCTGGCAGCGATTGGTCTCCACAAAGAGGAAACCGTAACCCACACCTTTCCGCATTGCCCTGCCAATGCTGAAAGAGAAATTAGAAAGATAAATTGAGAGATACGATACACGAGAAAGAAGCAAATTGTTTTATATCTTTAATCTGCTAGATAAATTAATTACTTGCATTTCTCAAATTAATTACGCAAATTCATTTGGTGATTTTATAAGAACATTTATGCGCAATATCGCTCATCATATTTTATTAGAATTTGAACGGTAAATTAAAGATGTTATATAATATGTAAAATTATTTTATTAAAAATGTTAAGTTTATTATATATGGATGAATTGAAAAAACTAGACAAATATAAAAAATACACAAATATAATAAAAATGCAGAATGATATAAATAACAGTAAAATATTTTTATATCTTCATATTTTTACATTTTTCATACTTTTCACAATATTTGAACGAAAATGAATGTATTGTGCCTGTATTGTAAAAAAATATTTGCTTTCTATACACAAAATATTTACGTATTTACACACGCAAAATCTAACACACTTTCGACAATATTGATTTTTTTTAGATTCTTTTAAAATATCTATTTGAAACATATATTACTTCATATTTGTAATAAAACAAAAATTGTGCTAAAAGAACGTGTAATCTGAACATAATATTTCATTCTCACCAATGTCGCAGAAGACATGAAGAACCAACAGAATAATTCCTTTCAGCATGATTGAAATAAAGAGATTTTTAATCAAAATTATTTGTCTATTGTCTCCGATCTTCCAATGTCAGCAATTGTTGTACATTCGTGATTTAATCAAACAGTTTCTGATTTCTTTAAGCATAATTCGATATAAAAGTCTAGAGTTTCTAAAATATACAACTCTATTTTTGTGATGACATTGCCGTAATAAATTTTTGTTAACAAGAAATAAATTTTCACTTTTTAAAAATTAAAAATATTTTCTTAAATAAAGAAAAAAATAGAGAAAAAAAATAGAAAAAAAATATGAAAGACATAAAGTTTCACTTTTGCACTTTTGGTTAAAATTAAATTTAAGCAATAATGGAATGATTTTCCCTCAGATTTATTATCCACAATATCGTCTCATTCTTCTATTGAAAATTTATTCTATTCTCTCTGCAAGTACTCCTGTATACAAGGTGTATACAGTCTTATAAATATAATTCGTCGCGCTCGATAATGATGACGACTGTTTTTTTTCCGATGTTTTTAATTACGTTTCACTTCCGTCTCGCTTAGGAGAATCTCTCGATTGGATGAAGCATTATTGTCGTATCGAAGAATCGCGGAACGCGCGGAATTGAAATCGTACGGAAAACGAATTTAAATGCCCTGCTAACGGTGCAGTGGTCTTCGGCTGACAACCCGACGACTGAACGATAGACAGCCGAACGAACTACCGGTAACCGTAGTAGTTTAATGTAGAACTCACTTATGGGACGTTCAAGTACATTGCGCTTCCATCCTTCCGTCACTTCCTCGGACACGTCAATTGGATACGAGGAGGGACCCAGTACTCGTTCGTTTTCCTTCTCTCTTCCACGTCCGCCTCTTCATCACATTGACTATCGGCTACGTGCATGCACTCGAGGTTGAACCCGACCTGGCTTGTTAAATACCATTTCCTGCATACGCCGTCGCGGAATATATAGTTTCGAGGGAGAGCCGGCGATGGATGCGAGCCCGACCGACCGACCGACCGATCGGTGGAGGTTGGGAGAACGGATTCAGTTTCTACATTGAATTATCGCCCTTGTGCATCGTGCGCAGGGGACACTGTATGTCAGGAGGGAACGCGTTGTGAGAGCAAACAGATTAATCGTTACATATAGATCGAGGCTACAGATCACGATTTATCGATGACATTTTAAGGTATTTTATGATACGTAGAGCTAGATTTTATTGGGATATAGGTTGATCACAAATATGGTACAAATCGTATATTTGTCTATTGGTTCTACACTGCGATATATAATACAGAATGTAGAATACCTTGTGTAAATGTTAGTCATAGAACTTACCCAATTAATTTTTTTTAGTTTTTTTTTTCATGTAATTTACTTGGATCATTTAATAGGAATATGTATGACGTATGATGCTCTGGATTTTGTTTATTAGTTTGCGGGATCTAAATACAGGAACATAAATGAATGATTAAAATTAAAAATTAACCATTGAAGTTTCAATAGAACAGATATACAATTTATTTACATACTCCTTTAGAAAATAACAATACATGATGGTATACGTGAATGCAAGTCAAAGCTTTGAATGGAATCTCGACTATTAGATCGCACTCGCGAGGTTATAAATTTAGAAAAATAAAAATAAATAAAATCTCAAAATTTTTAATATTAGTATATCGATGGTATTAATAAAAAAATGTAATAATTGTAGTAATTTTCTGATGATTTGATTTATATATTTTTTCAATACTGTTTTATCAAATAAAAGATTTAAAAAAAGTAGTCCTGCCTTTAATTTCTGTAATTTTGCATTTATTTGCTATTTTATTTCTATCTTTTCATATCAATATAAACAAAACATGAGTACATGAGAAAAAATTTATCATAATTTTCTTGACGAATTATAGTTTTGTAGTTTTGTTATTTTTGTTTTGTTATTTTTCATTGATACCATCAATATATTAAATTATATGTGTATATGATAAAAAATATATGTCACGCTGCGATCATCGGATTCTATATACTACATTAAATAAATAATAGTATCTTGGCAGAGTTATATTACAGAATTGAAAACATAGGTACAATATACTTTATATATATTTTACGCGCATTAACTTACAATAACTGTTCTTATCATGATGTTCTAAGTTGACAATTATAGTACATGAAGGACGTTAATACGATTTGATTCGTTGAGGTAGATAATTTAATCAGTCTATGAAGCTGCTTTGTCGGTCAGTTAATCATTTATGAATTCCGTTCCGACGTTACATAAAAAAATCAGTCCTATTTGCCATTGGAAGATCCTTTACACAGTCTTTTGCATACGTAACTGAGTTGCAACTAATTTTCAAATATGACAATTAGATATGACAAATTCAATTTATAATTATTTCTGATGTGATGTGATAAAGTTATATTCAAACATTGATTTGAAATAAAGGATCTTTTAAAAAAAGCACAATGGAAAGATTCTATTTTTCGAATTTTCGAATTAGATGACAGAATCTGAACCAAGTCAAGAACGTCGAATTAATTCGTAAAACATACTTACATGATTCGTTATTTTATCTATAAATTATAATAAATTAAGATATTCATGTAATCGTACAATTACAATGAAATATACATTTTCTACACGCCAGAACTCTCGTTTCCCCTTGTCCATCGGCGAAAATGCCAATTGAAATTTCCATTCTCTCGGCTTTCTTGTCTTTTCAACGAAGCGAGTCCTGCAAACGCACCATAAGAGGCATCTCTATGAAATTATGTACATCTATTTTGGTTAAACACGTTACATTCGATTAATAACGCGTAATGTATTCTTATTCGAGCATAGTAACTTTGTATACTAAATTGTTGCCGTCAAAGAAAAAAATTATTTACTTTTAAAATTATTACTTTTATCTGTTACGTGAGCGAAGTTAATAATTCAACTTAATTAATTGGCAGTCTCTAGTTTAAATCAATGATATGTAAAGATACATAACATAAAGATATATGCAAGATTATTATCAATCTAAAAAAATAACATAAGATTTATTTTAAGCTCGATTTGGCACATATCTTTGTGTTGTATAATTAAATTTATTAAAATTATAGATATATAAAAATAAAATATATTTGCCATCTAATGTTCTAATATGTATTAATTTTTTGTGTGTTTATACTTCTAATATTTCAATAAAAAATTTCATTGTTCTTAATTTTTTACAACATATTTTTTTAAATTTAAGTACTGTATCATTGATACCAGTAAATAAATAATTAATATGAAACGTTCAAAATATGATATTCCTAATTATATGTAAATATCGAGTTCTGACTTTAGACTTGCGTTAATAAAAGGACTGATAATCGGAAAACTTTGCATAATTGTTACGACTGTTTTGCTAGTTTGCGCGTTGTGTCAAAAGATTCAGCAACTCATTGTGATCCATACTATTCAACGTATGTATATCGATGCCGAGAGCATTCGCGACACTTTTCATGTCTAGACCAAAGCTCTTGAGGAGTTCAATAAAGTCCATTTCCTCGCCCGTAAAAGGATTATGTAGCTTGGGGCAGCTATGGTTACATTGCGGCCAAGTGCAACGCTCGATCATACGGAAATGGCAATTCTTGATGCACTTCCGTTTGAATGACGGTATTACCGATCGCTGTGGCCTGATGCCATTAAATATAGCCGTATGGTTATTGCCGTTGACTTGCTTGCCGCCTTTGCGACGACCTGTGAAAAGATTACATTGTAACAAATTTCGAAAAATTTTTTTTAAATTAATAATAAGTGTCAAAATTAATTTTATCGCAAAATTAAACGCAATACTGCAATGAGTTTTTGACCAATCTATTCTTACAGAATTTGAAACTGAAACAGCTTGGAACTATTCAAAGAATGTCGACTGTTATTGAACAAGGTTCAAAACATGTTTGTGCATTGCTAAACCGTACCAGCGTTCTTTCTTCGCTGATGTTTCTCTTTCTTCATTCTCCCCTCTTTACTTTTCTCTCTCTCCTTTCTCTCTCTCCTTCTGCTTTTATGTTTCCTCTTTCGTCTCTTCTTATTCTCCCGTTCTTGAACCGAATTGGAGACCGGCTTTCTTTCCTGCATTTTGCCAACGACAGACAATCGAACTTTTTGTGTTTCCGTAGAAGATCCAACTCTGCTTTTTCCGCCTTCGATCGAGGTACCATTTCCCTTTCTGGTACCAGAACGCAATAGCTTTTTCAGTGACTTCCCGCACGGTTGATTGGTCTCGATTTGCGAGTGAGTACTGCAGCAGAACGAAAAACATTATCTTCGAGGTTTCGATCGTCATTCATCTGAATCATCCTTTGTTTATTTATCAAGATGAACTACATTTG